TACGGAGCACAGGCTCCGGACGCGCAGGCTCAGCGGCCATGGCTCACGCGCCCAGCCGCTCTGCGGCACGTGGGATCCTCCCAGACCGGGGCACGAACCCGCGCCCCCTGCATCGGCAGGCGGACCCCCAACCACTGCGCCACCAGGGAAGCCCTCAAATGGCTTTTGAAAGCCCAAATTATGTCTTGGAAATTTTAAGAGTCACAACAAATCTTCAAGAGCATCTCAAAATTGTACTAATGACTTAAAAAATATATGTGAAAGTGTGTGATAAACTGTAAGATGCATTATGAACAAAAAATGAGTATAGGGCTTCCCTGGTGGCGCAGTGGTTGAGAGTCCGCCTGCCGATGCAGGGGTCGCGGGTTCATGCCCCGGTCCGGGAAGATCCCACATGCCGCAGAGCGGCTGGGCCCGTGAGCCATGGCCGCTGAGCCTGCGCGTCCGGAGCCTGTGCTCCGCAACCGGAGAGGCCAAAACAGTGAGAGGCCCGCGTACCGCAAAAAAAAATTAAATGAAATGAAATTAAAACGTGAGTATACACACACACACAGATTCTCTAATTTACTCTTCTTTCACAATTTTTAAAAATGCTACCCACAGATGTTAAGTACTTAAAGTTAATATATAGCAAGTTAACAATAAAGGTGAATATTTTTACTTCAGCAAAACATTCTGCAAGGAGTCTTATGATAATCTTATGGAAGAGACAGAAAAATACGGACTGGATGAAAGAAGGGTATAGGCCAGATCACTAAAGACTAGCTTTATCTTGAGGTTTTAAATAATTCAGATTCGAAGTTTACAAAGATAACTAGCGACTGTTTGAAAAATGGATTGGAATGAATCTTAAAGACTGGAGATGACAAGTGAGGAAACTAATACAAGTCTCTTAATGACAGATAAGGGAAAACCTAAAATGTAAGCACTAAACATCATCAGTTAATTTGAGATGTAGGCGTGGTACGACTTGGTAATCAACAGGATGTGGGGAGTGAATTATAAGACAGGGTTGATTTCCAGCTTTGTAATTCAGGTGTCTGGTTATTTAAGAATGCTACTCAGATGGTAAATTTGCATGGAGTGGGGAGCATGGAGGCTGGACTCAGTAGCTGTGACGACAACTTTAGTTTAGGACATTTTGAATGTCCCAAGCTAAACATTCTGAATTGCTGTGAAACGTCCAAGATATGTAGCTACTATCTGGAAATATAAGTTAGGAAAACCACGCGTACTTTTAAGTTATTAATAGTGGATTTTAAATGTATTGCTCCAGAAAGCAGAACTAGGATGAGGAGATAGATAGGAGTTACTAAATGGAAGATATTTGGTCAAATACATCCGGGCAAGGGATGCAACCCATGAAGATAATGCAGAGAAGTCCATTATAACAATTCAAGAAACGTGTTGAGTACATACTATTTTCAGATACTGTACAAAATCTAATGAATAAAAACCAAATAAACGTTCTTCTCTAGGCATTTACGGTCAGACTGGGGAGACAAATTTATAAATAAGTGATTCCAACATTATTCTTTATACAGATTGCAATTACAGCAGTGTGTATAAAGCAGAGTGAGAATAGGGTTGAGAATGGAAACACAGAAAACATTAGATCAGGGAGATAAACAGAAGGCTGAGAAGTAAGTAATCAAGAGAGGAAGAGAAAACTTCGAAAAACAGGAAATAGTCAACAATGTCAGACTGACAGAGGCCAACATTAGAAGAGTTAATATGCCGGATAACAATTACAGATCTTGATAGGCGAGGCTGGACCAATGATTCCCAACCTGGTATCACCCACCAAACCTCTAGGGTAACAATAAGGATCTGTAAACTACCCAATATTTCAATATGCTTTTTAAAAATTGTACCTTAACCTAAGATAGGGCTAACTTCTTCACCTCTGACTGGAATTATATTAGCTCAGAGGGGTAACACCATCATGTTATATTTGTCTGAAGTCCTGATTAGCAGTTATCTGTCTGATTGATAAAAAGAGGAAACAAATGATTAATTGCTATTGTAAAATAAGGGTTTTCCAAAAAGAAGGAAATAAAAGTAACCCTTAGTACTTAAAAGTCTAAACTAGGGACTTCCCTGGCGGTCCAGAGGTTAAGACTCCGGCACTTCCAATGCAGGGGGCATGGGTTCAATCCTTGGTTGGGGAACTAAGATCCCATATGCCATGTGGCACGACCAAAAAAAAAAATTAAAGGGCTAAAACGATGGAGCAGGACAAATAAGAGTATGCTTAACAGATACAAATAATCTGTTCTTCAAATCAAAACACTGGTTAGCCATGCAAGGGACTGAAGACACATGACTTGAAAGTAGTCCAGGTGAAAGAGACTGTAATTTTGGTTGATTACAACCTCATCCTGAGTCAACATGAAGTTCCAAAAAGGCTATTCTAATATTAAGCTACATTAATAGGATTATGCCCAAGTCAAGGAGTGATACAACAGTTTTAATGTACGATATTCAACAAAACATCTGTAATGGAGTGGCCCACTACCATATTTCAAACATATAACTACAGACCATCCAGAGGAAGAGTGAAATATTTTGTCTAGAAAAGAAAATGCTCAGGAGATGTCTTCAAATGGTAGAAGTGATGTCATATACACAGAGAATAGTGAACTTTTAATATATTGCTCTAGAAAGCAGAACTAGGATGAGTGGATAGATAGAAGTTACTAAATGGAAGATTTTTGGTCAAAACAAAGACCTTATGAACTATAAGAATTATAGTTCCGCATTGGCATATTGGTTCAATGAACTCATTATCATTGAATATTTTTATACAAAAGGATGATTCATCTCTTGGTGTTCAGACTATATTGTAATCGCATGGTTAAAATTATCTGTCTCCCCCAACAGAACACGTACTCCTTGAGGGAAGAAATGTGGTTTTATTCATCTTTACGGCCCCACAGAGTCTAGCACAGAATGCTGAGTACAGCTATGGCTCAATAAGTCTACGGAATTAACAGGTGAATGAAGGTACTGCATGTTTTAACAGCCACTTCTTTGGGAAGGTGGGATGAGATGCTCCCTTGGGCCCCTAAAATTCTAAGATGTCCATAGTATAAAGCCCTCATCCAGAGCTCATTCTATTTCATAACATAGCATGGGGTGATGTGTATAAGTAATCTGCTTTAGTATGTGATAAACAGCACACCTTACCTGACATCTTTATTTGAAATGCTAGTATTAACTAGTTTCCTTGCCAAACTAGAAAAGACAATTCCTGACCTTTATATTATGAAGCCTTAAACAAATGCTTAAGTATGAAAATATTAATCAAGAGTATCTCAAGCACAGAAGAATCTCTTGAATAGGGAAAACAAAAATCTTGTTCTTTAAACATACAAGTAGTAATAGGCAGAGCAAAATGCCATCAGCTGACTTAAAAAAGGAATCGATCACATTTAACTACAGGGAGGCGGGGGAGAAGGGAAGGATCAATCGAGAAAAAGGGGGGAAACTGGAAAATTTTTAAAGAAATTACAAGTTATAGGATCATATCTGGATACTATCTGGCTGATTCTTCCTCGCTTTCTGCAATAACGCTTTTATCTTTACCAAGTCGTAAGAAATTCTACTACAAAGTGGTTGCGGAAATAAAGTACAAAACATAAATCACTGTATTCGGTTTCTTGATTTTAAACCTCTAGTAAAAAGCATAGTAAGGAAAAGTTTGAAAGTACCGCTCTGGATAACAAGAATATCAAAGATTATTGGTAGATCTTATTCCCAGTGCCCTCTATCACTTTAGCTAAAGCAGACACTTGAAACTGTTTGAATGTGTGTCTTGCGTATAACAGGTAATCAATCTCTTAAATAAGATAAATGTAAACACACAACTAAAACAATTCTGGAGCTGGCAAAGATGTATGCCACTAGGGATTGGTCACCAAGATGGGAAGTGCTTTGAAAAGTTTTACTTAGGAGGAACACATAAAATTTAGCCTAGTGATGGTATTGCTGTAAGGGCCTTGCACATCTGTATAGATGCATACAAACACACAGGGAAATTTTACAAACTACTTTCATTGTTTGTATTAAGGTAAGAGTTAGACAGGGGCTGAAAGATGATGCAGACGTTCACATAAATCCTAGACGAGTTATATTAATTTTCCAAATATCTTCCTTAAAAACAAAACAAAACAAAAAGGCAAAATATAGACACTTCATCCCAGTTACATGTTTTTGGAAGAAGAGAAAAATACACTCTAGTGCCAACTATGTACCTTATCTAGGAACTTAATTTATTAAGCTACTTTTTTGAAAATATGAGTATTCATGGCACTATAACACTTAAAGGACTGACATATATGCAGGATTCTAAGCGTGTGCGTTTGTTGTAAAGATGTATTTATACCTCTTTCATAGAGAAAAACCAGTTTTGAGTGTTAGGGGGAAAAAACACTTGAGAAGGAAATAAACCTCACTTCAAATTTTCTGGTCCCCTACAACAGCAATCAAAAGGGGAACGGACAGAGAGTACAGCCCAGCATCGGCTCCACAGTAGGGACTGAGAAGGGTTAGGACCGGGACGGCAAAACTGGGCTCCCAGTTTAGTAGGAAGGCGGGTATTGTGGGAGGATGGCTTGCTGAGGCGAGGTCAATGGAAGGGGGTACACCCTGCGGTCCCTCGCTCCCCCAGCCCGTCCCGCCGGGTCTGCAGGGCCGCACCGGAGCCCCACTCCGCGCAGCCAGGAGGAGGCAGCGGCCCTGGCACCATACCTGTCAGCCGGACCAGCTCCTCCCCGCGCCGGGCCACGGAGCGAGGCCGACGGAACAGCCAGGGCCGGCGAGAGTCGGGAGGACCCGCGGCGCCGCTCCGCCCACCCGCCTCCCGGGACGCATTCGGGGACCTTGCGCCTCCACAGCCGCCTCCCAGCCCCATCCTCGCCTCGGCCTCTCGTGCACCTCCGAGCCCCCGCTACCTGGGCTTCCCCCCTCCTCACCAACCACGGACGGCCTCCACTTACCTTCAATCGCCATGATGTGCTCGCCCTGGACCGCACCAACTGGATGGCGGGGGCGGCGAGCGGGCGTGCGGGCGGAGGACGCGCCGGGGCAGCCGGCGAGTGGAGCTGGGCGGGGTTAGCCCCGCAGTCGCCGGGCTGCGCGGCCTGAGGGAGCCGCGGGCGGGGCGGTCTGGGGTGGGGCGGAGCGCCGCGAGCGCGCGGAAGAAATGGAACCTTCCCCGGCAGCCACTGCCGCCGGCACGTGACGCCGCCTCGCCCCCACGCCGCCTCCCCCACCGCGCCTCGCGCCGGGATTCGAAACAGGTGCGGGGTCCAAAGAGCCCCAGCACCGGCGCACAAGACCAGCCCGAGGCGCACTGAGTATGTGCGGACGGCTTCCACCCGCTCGGCCGGGGGCTTCTCTGGGCCCAGGACCCCGGCGAAGACGTCTGCTCCTCCCTTGCTTGCGGCCTTCGAAACCGATGAGGGAGGGGCATGGGGGGGAAAAGGATGTGGTCAGGACCATGGACAGGTCTCTATTGAAACTGGGCTCAAGAATCCCCACCCAGTGACTCCCTCAGATTTGGTAATCTGAAGGTCTGTTTTGTTTTTGTTTTGCTTTGCCTGAATCAGCCAAATACTCGCCTCAGATCTCCGCTGTGGGCTGAGAGACGGCTAGCTGGCAAAGAGCAAACGGGAGAGAGACAGAGGGATCCTGAGGACAGCTGCTTCTCTCCCTTTCTCTCTCATACACAAACACACACACACACACACACACACACACACACACACACACACACACA